ACTATTTATAAAAATACTAATAATAAAAATAATAAAATAAAATAATAAGATAAAATAATTGAAACTTATTTTATAACGATACTTTAATTTCACTATGTAAATACTCTAAAGTACTTTAAGATAATGACTAGATTATTGCAAAGTATGAGTCAAATTCTGATAGGTACTATAAAAATTTACTCGCACTTCAAATATCAAAAGACTTTATAGTTCTAGAAGGTACTGTAAAGTACAAATAGGTTATGCTAGAAACAGAATATGACAATACTCAGATAAATTAAGAAACTGATACTTTATATAGAATGATCTACTGCTGACCTATTAATTTTGAAACTTTTGTACTAGAGTAACGTATACTGAGCAAACAACATCATATGATTATACAATATTAATTGACCAATCTAATTTAATTGAGTCATCAATTATTAGTTATCATTTTATTTTTAAAACATGACTATTTAAAAATTTGATCACCTTCAGGTTAAAGTATCTCAATAAATCATTATATTAATGTTGAGTAAAAAATTTAAATATATGTGTTAAAAACAAGTACTTTAATTTGAATCAAACAACTCAAAATTTTTAAAAAATTGTCAAAGACAAGTTTTTCTAGTCTATTACTCATATAATCATCTGAAAAAATAATTTTCCTGCTGTTTAAGTTGCTAAAACCTAAAGCTACAACAAATACTTTCAGATTCTGCTTTATAATCATAATCTTTATTTTTTTGCAATATAAAATTGAATTTGTTGAATGATTTTAAAGGTTTAATTTGGGGTTTCCAAGTAATAAATCAAAGATATATTTGAAGCTAATTTGAGTTATCATTTTGATAAACTTCTATAACAAGGAATTGTAAATTAAAACCTTTAGACTCTGTTATAGTATTACATATAGGAATGGTAAAAAAATATTTTAAACAGTTTTTTTAGGGTTTTAAATCATTTTAAAAGAACTTTTTAAAACATCAGTAACTGAGTTTAAAAATGAAATTATCACTTCTGATTGTTTAATTTCAGTATCAAACTAGGACAGCATAAAAAAAATATTTTAAATATTGTATTTTATTACAAATATTACATATTAAAAACTTATAAAAAATGTGCTAAATATTTATTTAATTTAATTAAATATATTATTTAATCTTTTGTACTGTTGCTTCAATATTTGCTCTGCCTATTATTTAAATATATTAATTATTAATTTAAACATTATCATCTTCAAACCAACCATCATATTTTATTTCTTTCTGAATTCTCAAATTTTGATAAACAACTACAAGTCTTTTGACCTAAATATTGTCTAAATATATATGATATTTAGTATGAATAAATCTGAAATTAGACCAACAACATTCTGTAGTAGCTGAAGAAGCAGGAACTGAGAGAACTTGGGAGGTAAGTTTAACTATAAAAGGAAATTTATTTGAAAAATTTGATTTTTACTAACTAATTAGACTTGAATATTCAACTGATACCTAAAGCAATAACTCAGAGAATTCATCAGCTTTAGCAATATATTTTTGTATTACTCTAAAAATCTTTATTATAAATAAAAAATAATATACAAATATCAGATATACTGTAAATATTAATAAAACTAGTAATTTGTTAATATCTTGGTACTTATATATGCTGCAATTTCAAATGAATAAATATTTTTAATATACAGAATAATTACATTTTCAATTCATTTGGTCTCAATAATTTTTCACAAACCCTATAATTAAATTATTAATAATATATTGCATCTTAAAATTTTTAAATAATTTTTTAAAAAAAAATTATTATTTTTTTTTTTTCCTTTGACAGTCGCACTTTACACATTTATTAGATAAAGAGTTACAGATGGCTAGTCTGTATAAGATCTAACTTAATACAAGAACCTATAGTCCCTTTCTAAATATCTAATTTTTTAATGAAAAGCATCACTCAACACTCCATTTGCATATATGCCCAAATGTAATCTGTTACACTAAAAGCCTCCTTAACATAAAGAAAAAGAAAAGTCTAGACAATTTTGTCTGACTGTCTAGGAAAACAGATATTGATAAAAGTAAAATAAAATTGTTACATATAGTGAAAAGCAAAGCCACATACTACATATTACGTTCAAAGCAAAGTTAGGAAAACTTGCTAACAAGATAAACACCTAACAATCTAAAAGGAAAAAATACAAAACAAAAACAAAAAAAAAGAAAATAAAAATAAAAAGCATCTCGTAAGAATTATAACCTAAACATATAATCCTGCTCAAGACTAGGTAGTTAAAAATTATAAATGCAAAATACACTTATTTGCAGATATTTCTAATATTCGATAACAATTTGGTTATTTCGTCGAACATGTGATGGCTCATTATTATTGCAGTAAACTCATAGTTTATATTGCAAAATAAAATCATATATTTGTTATACTAACTCCAAAATATATACGTATTTGTTGTTGTCATACCATAAGCCTACTTCCAAATTCGTCAATGATGTGCATGCTGATCTTTGGTAGAGGTGAACTCCATTCCCCACTTTTTGTACAAAAAATACTCCAAGTTCGCCAAATAGTCAAAACCATTCCCATGACCAACCAAAGGTTTAGAAGTGAGAGTAAGATATCTAAAATAAACTTGAAAAGTATAAGGAGTGGTATTATACTTGACTCTATTCAAGTATTTTCTTTAACTTTTATATCCAAAGAGCTTATTCCTAACAATAAAGTATATAAAATATATACAAGATATATAATATATACAATATATAAAAGTGCCAATAATCCATGAACAGCTCGTAGCCTACTCTTCAATGAAAGAACATATTTTATTGAATTTCTGGTTTTTTCAGTCTCACTCGTATATATTATATTAGAAAATAGAGTATTATTATATATATATAAGTTTTTTCTTTTCATCGTCATTTTGGTTTTAGGGATCGTCAGGAAGAGTTGTTGTGTTTATCAATATTGAAAAAAAAAAAAAATTATTACTTAGGGTCTAAAAGATTTGTGATTGACATCGCAGAATAAAATACAAAGTTGAAGTATTTATTAATCAAATCAATAACTTTTGATTTGAATTCTATATTCAAGTCATACAAATAAACTAATTCTCGAATTAGTTCTCATTCAGAATAGAAATGTGAAAGTAATAGTTCATCAGATTCAAATAAATGTATAAGCTTAACAAAAGGTATCAAGAAAGAATCTAGTTTTTCTAGTTCTTTCTATAATAAATCATTTAAGATCTGATTTCTAAGATCGTGTACAATTTTTTTACTTATTTCAGGTAGTATAACAACTATTTGAATTCCTAACTTGCATCGAAGGACTGATTAAATAGTATCTAAACAAGTTCCCTAATGAGTATCAATAGGTTGAACTAAAGTAATAGTATCAGGCTGATTCAATAAAATAGATTCTGCCTAATAAAGTCCTTAAAAAAAACTAATAATTTGCTTTATATAAGCTATTTTCTTTTCTACCCAATCAAGTTTAAGTATATCTTTAATTAGAAGATTTCTGATATGTGCATTGCAGCTCAAACAAATTAATCAAAAATAGTCATTATTTAGCAATTTCTATGCTACTCTCATAGAACTAGTATTATTAGTTATAATAGTAGCAAACTTAGAACAACCAATATCTTCAATTACAGCCTTTAAATTATTATAAATATATTCTGCATTATGTAATTCAGATCTAGTATATTTTGCATCATAAAAGACTAGTTTTGAAAGGTAAAAAATAAAATTTAAAACTGATTCTCTTTGAATATTTGACTATTTATTTGAAACTAATATAATATTGTTGTCTTCTCTAATATTGTATTTAAACTTTGTTATTCCTCTTGATATTCAGTATCCAGCAAACTATTAGCCAAATTATGATGATTAGAACTAATATAAAACAGGTTAACATTTCTAATATAAAGTTACACAGTTTCTATAAATTTTTCTCAAAAAGAGGTTTCAATAGCCGTAAAAGGAATACTAGCAGAATAAAAAAATCTTGCTAATTTACTATCTATATCTAATTTAGATATAATCATTTTATCTTCACTTGAACCAGAATATTAAGTATTATTATAAATATTTGATGCTAATGAATCTTTTATATTTTTTAGAAGCCTTTTGCATTTTAATAAGTGATCTTTTAATTGACCAACTAAATCAATGAAGTCTTCTTTGCAGTGAATACACTTTTGATAAGATGTAATCTGACCATGTTTGTTAGTCTCTGTAATTTTAGTAAAGTTTAAATGAATTTCTTTTAAAGGATACCTTCTACAAATCATAATTAATTTAAAGATAATTATGTTTAATATTATTATTAGTAATCAAAATAAATACATATAAGCTAATTGCATAATTTATTCGAGTATATGATATCAGAACTCTTTCTGATGATCATTCAGATCAATAACACAACACACTGACCTATATAGAAAATATAGCTAACTACAGTAAAATATAGCTAAAACTCTTTACTCCAGCCAATCCATACCTAGAGACTGCAACTGGGTACAACTAAAAAAGAGTTGAAATAGATGTTCACAGGTGGGGTTCTTTTTATTAACCTCTTTGCTTCTATATTCTATACTAACATTTTCTTCAATATTATAGACCTTGAAGCTGTTGGTGCAAAAAGGATTTCGTTTTTGACAGGAGTTCGTCCTTTGGGCTTAGGTAAGTATATGGGAACGCAGAACATTATAATTTCTTTAGTAGTTATTTTTGTTTTTTCTAACTCTTTTGTAATTATAATAGGAGGTTCCATACGATAGTCGAGTACTAGAGGGCATTTGGGCAGTGGCGATAAGGCTTTTCTTTAATTTTTTATCTAACTATTCAAGATCCCTAGATAGTTTTTTTAATTTTTCTTCTATCTCTAGGCATTGGTGATTTATTCTGATTTCAGGTTGGTCTGCGAGTAGAGTTAGTTTATTCAGTGTTACGTATCTCACAGTCACTACCATATTGTTACAGATAGAAATATCAACTAACAAACAACAACAAAATGATCTGACTCTGTCGGTCCGGAATCAAGTTTCTTACATAACATAAAGAAATATCTAAGCGGTTAAGGCTCTCTTAGCTGAGGCATACAATTTGGTCGAGTAAGATAAGTCCCTTCTTATCTTATAGCTTTCTCTAAATTGTTCCTTATACAAATCACTAACTTATTTCTTTGATTATGCAAGGGGTTATTTAATTAACGAGAATCGGGTTTGAGGATACAAAAGTTCTACTGGCGTAGATTACATGAATCACAGGTTTATTAGATTGGAGATTTTATTGAATAAGGAAAAGTGATAATTTATGCAACTAATTTATTTAACGATTCGAACTTTGTAAATATAACTTAATAAAGAATGAAATTTTAATTATTTAATTATGAAAAGATCAATTTTATTTATTTTGATATTTATTTAATGTTCGAAACCTGAGGGTTGTTCTTTACAAGAGCAAAACCAAAGGTCTTTTATAACTTTTGGTTCTTTATATTTTTAACACTATTTATATATTTTTCTTATTTTCCATTTTTTATACAATAAACTAATTTTACCGTATTTACATTCTTGACAGTTTTTACAGATGTTACGAGATTAATAATTATTACTAGTTTGACAATTTTTACATTATTTACAATTATACTAAATTTGGTAATAATTACTATCTCGTGTCAAAACTCCCTATAATACTAGTTATCATTTAAGACACCTATGTTCGACCTGCTATAACAGAACTTTTCTCTCTCTATATACCTTCTCTATTTCAAGATTTTAGTAATATAGATCTATGAGTTGGAGCCTGTAGCCTGTCATGACTCTGCTCCACAATAGAGCATCACCAAACTAATGATACTTTCTCATAGGGAAGAGAAAAATAAAAAAAATATATGAAAAGGGGTAAGAAAAAACAAAAAACAAAAAGAAAATGATGACTAATTCTATAAAGAGTAAAAAAAACTAAATCTAAAAAATCCTATAAGAAATCATCACTAGGAAGAAAAAACCTGCTAACCAGAAGAAAAACTTCTATCTAAACAGAAAACTAAACTTTATGAGAGCTGGAGTAAGACGTATACTTTGACCTGTATAAGGTATAAAAATATTGCACATAGCTTCAGAATATTGCATTTCTGTATTTAATATTTTAATCCAATTAAATCTATCTGTATTATTACATGTAGTACTGGGCTTAGTCATATATTTGTTGTGTTCCTGTTTTGCTATGTCACAACTTGTGATTTTTCAAAATAGAAATGGTAAATATTGCTGATCTTTTGATAGGAGTAAATCCAAATCCACATATAGAATAATTGAAAAAAGAAGGGCCGAGAGAAGAAGAAGATATTGTAGACCAACTATTAGTTTGTGTTCTAAACTTGACTTGCTGGAGTTTATATAGTATAGACCAACTTGAATAAAATATAGTTGAGATCCAAATAATAGTTTTTCAGTATTGAGCAAGCCTTTCTATCTACTTTGGTTCCAGTATTTATTTCTCAAGCTCCTAAACTTTATAGAAACCCTATCTGTGAACATCTATTTCAACTTTTTTTCTATTATACCTAGTTGTAGTCTCTAGGTATAGATTAGCTGAAATAAAAAGTTTTAGCTATATTTTACTGTTGTTAGCTATATCTTTTATGTAGGTTAGTATATTGTGTTGTTGGTCTGAATGATCATCGAAAGAGTTAAATGAGTTGTGAATTCTGAAATACAAATTATATTAATTCAAATAAATAATTTAGTTATAAAATTTTGATTTAAATTACTTAAATTGATTTAAATCTAAGCTTTATATATTATATTTATCAAATATATAATAAGGTAGCTACATGCTAAAACCAGGAATGTAGATTTTGATTACAATTATTTAAAGTTTAATAGAGAATATTAAGTAGAGTATGATAATTAAGAATTAAACCTACAACTAGAAGCAAATTTTCCTTAATAAAAATTTGGATGCATCGATCATTTGATCTACTATTAAAAATTTTATACTAATGATTTGCAGATCATTTTTTAAATAGCCAATTATAATCAAGATTTTGTATATAAACGCCAAAATCGAATTGAACTATCTACTTCATTTTACTACATTCTTAGTATATTTAATATTTTATAATAGTATTTCTATTAAATAAACTAAACTAAACTTTGTATCTAATTTGAATTTAGTTTAAAAATTAAGATTAAAAATATATTTAGATTTAAATTTAGATTTGATTTTTTTTATTAAATTTAGTTTAGTTTAAGTTAGATCTAAAAGTTTATAAATATATTTGAGTTTAATAGAATTTTTAATTAATTAGTTAAATAGTTAACTAAAATTAATTTTTTTTATAATTTAGTAATTATACTAGTATTTTATTTAATTAAATTTTTTTTTTGTTATTAAGGCTACCTCTTTGACCAATTAGATTTTATTAATTTGTTATTATAGAATTATCATAGTAATAATCTTCTAAAATTTTATAATTATATAATAAATATACAATAAACTATATATATAACTTTAGTTATTATTTAATTTATATAGTTTGCTATATAAACAATAGGCTATCTGATAGTTCTACATTATGCTATCATATCTGCAATCTGTCTGTGAGTTATCTATTTAAATACTCTGATTATTAACTCTTCTTTTTATTCTAAATAAATATTATTACTATATCTGACTACTTAAGCTAGCTAACTTGCTTATAAATCTATTTACTATATAACTTAGATTTTCTTAGATTATATATTATCTAATATATTGTAAATATGTAGAGCTCAATGATCCTTTTTTGTAACTCTTTCCATAGATCACTTGTACTAAAATTTCTTGCAAATATTTACTATTTCTTAAAATTTTATTAAGTAAACCACTTTTGAGCCTCTAAGTAAAGTTGTTCACAGCAAAATTTTACTTCAAAACAGTCTAGTTTTAGTCTCTCTGGACCTTTATTTATGAAGATATTAAATATATTTTATTTTTATAGTTTTTTCAAATTATCATAAAATTTTACTAAGTAAACTACTTCTGAACCTCTAAGTAAAGTTGTCAAGCATAAAATTTTACTTCTAGTAGTCTAATTTTATATCTTTTGAACCAAATTTTAATAAGATATTATTTATTTCTGATTTACTTAGTTTTTCTTAATTATCTCAAAATATTATTAATTTAACAACTCTTGTTCACTAAAAAAAATAGATTCTCCTGTATTAGAGCTTCATTCTTATATAAATTTTATCAAAA